CCAAATACCTTTTTGTTGTTTTATCCATTCCTAAGAATTTTGAAGATACTTTCCTAACATTACTTTTTAAGTTATTAATGCTATGTACATTTTATTTACCTTTATACCTAAGAGGGATTCCATTTTCTCTGCATTTCCTACTGACTGGCAGAAGATAGAATCCAGTGTTTCTCCCCAGACAGAGCAGTGCCTTGCAAGGCAAACCAGAATATCTGCACCGTTTTTTTTTTTTTTTAAATGATTAATACCACAGGATGTGGTCTTTGGCGAGAGCTATGGAGCTAGACTAAGGAGTGTTCTTCAGGTCCCTGGGCCTGTAATTATCCGAGGCATACATGCCAGATGGGCCACGTGCCATCACCATGGTGACCCATGGCAAAGGCATCTCTCTCCTGGCAACTTGAGAACAGCAGATCCAGCATAGCTGGTCTTGTGTACACCTTCTGTGTGCTTACTGTAGATAAAAATGAGAGAAGCAAAGGCTCTTTCCTGGCTATGACAAGAGCTTAAAGGGAGTTACTGGCACTTTCATGTCATTACTATAACAAGAAACTGCCTCCCCCTTGCCAGTGACAAGTTTATGTGCCTATGTTAACTACAAGGGAGAGCTGTGATGTTTCTGATGTGGAAGGGTTGAAAGACACTGTGGGTCAATGTGTATATTCTTGCACCTTTTGATTTTTCAAGAAATCATAAACATCTTCTTGTCTTTTTTTTGTTGTTTTTTTTTTTTTGAGAAGGAGGCTCACTCTGTTTCCCAGGCTGGAGTGCAGGGGTGTGATCTTGGTTCACTGCAGCCTCCTCCTCACAGGTTCAAGCAATTCTCCTGCCTCAGCCTCTCGAGTAGCTAGGATTATAGGAGTGTGCCACCACACCCTGCTAATTTTTTGTATTTTCAGTAGAGATGGGGTTTCACCATGTTGGCAGGCTGGTCTCTTACTTCTGACCTCAAGTGATCCGCCCGCCTCGGTCTCCCAAAGTGCTGGGATTACAGGCGTGAGCCACCGCGCCTCCGCAGATCTTCATGCCTTTTGAAATTCCCCCAACTGTATGCTGCACAGGCTGCAAGTGTCTGATGGGTTAGATCAGAGTCTTTTTTGTCCTATATATCAGGATAGTTTTCTGCTATAAAAGATACAACAACAACAACAAAAACAGCAATGACCACAACAAAACAGAATAGCCGAATAAAATGATTTGTAGAGGTTATTGCTAACTTACCTACCTAGAAATCTGGAGATAAAAAATTCTGAAATCACTTACTCCAGCAGCTCAGCAATGTGAGACTGCTGGGTTCGCTTCACTCTGATTGTATTGGCTGTCTCCTCATGGTCATGAGATGGGCTGTCCAGGCGTCCAGCAGCACTTGCCTACCCAACAATGTCCAAAAGCAGGAAAGCAGGCACGAAGGGCCCTGTCTCAGAAGCCTGTCAGGAGACTTTCTGGTATGTCCATTGGCCAGGCGTGGGCCACATGACACCCACCTCCTGAGGCAGAGGGCACTGGAGTTACCATGAATGCCAGTTATGGCTCAAACCCTGAGAACACTGACACCTGATACAGCAATACAATCAGAGTTCTTTTGGCAAAGAAAGGAAGGCATCTAGGAGTGTCTGCTGGCTCCTGAGAAAGGACAGTCATTGAAGGCTTGTTCTTTGCTTGTTTCTTGCTGCAGGCGGGTCATCATATTAGCTTTCTATTAGCTAATATTAGCTTTCTCTTTCTCACTAAAATTCTAAATCACCAGATTCTCTGATGATCTGTATTTTTTCTCATTTTCACTCATATATGCCAGTAAGAACACATAAACATAAAACCCAACAGCCTTTCAAACAGCAAATTCTGCAGTGCTAAGTTTTGTGCATTTATAGGTATAACAGCCTCTCACCCTCTAATTATTTCATCCAAGCATTTCTTTATTAAGATCTTTATTACACTCCTACTGTGTGTTAGATGTGTTCTCTGTCTTGCAGTAGCACACAGTGTAATGAAACATACCTTAACCACATGCCCTCCTGGTAGTTTTCTTCCATGTAATCTGAAGTGTCATAAAAACAAAGTTCAATGCAACAAATTTTGCTCAGATAAAGGAAAGGAAAAGAACTAAACTAGGGAAATTGGCCACTAGGGTCTAGGGTGGAGAGAGAGAGGGTGTGTGAGTGAGTGCAGAAGGAGAGTGAGAAAGGTGGGTGAAGGGGGAATCGAAAGAGAAAGACAATGTAAGAAAGGCGTGAGTAGTTTTCATTTTTATTTCAGATAGGAAAGGACCATTTCTCTCAACCATTTTGGACTTGAGGACTTCTGAGTTTAATTATTAATAAAATCTGGGGAACTTGACTTGTGTATGTTCTCTTATTCTCTTTTTGGGAAGTCCATTTTATGGACTGAATATTTGCATTCTTCCAAAATTCATATGTTTAAGCCCTAACCTCAGTATGATGGTATTTGGAGGAGGGAATTTTGAGAGGTGATTATGCTTAAAGAGATCTTGAGGGTGGGACAAGTGTCCTCTCTCTGCCACATGAGGACACAGTGAGAAGGTGGTTGTCCACCAGCCAGGAAGTGGGCCTTTAGGAGGAAGTGAATTGGCCAACACCTTGGTCTTGGACTTGCCAGCCTCCAGAACTATGAAAAATAAACGTTTGTTGTTTAAGCCACCCAGTCTATGGTATTCTGTTATAACAGCCTGAGCTGACTAAGACATCCATATCCTCTCAGATTCCATTTGCCAGGAAATAAACCGTGGTTTTCTTTAGGAAATGGGATGGGATGAGATAGGGGTGAAGGTGGTCCCCTGGCTGTGCCTAGATGGAAGGATCCCAAGGTTCTCAGCCACTATGCATTTGCCAAGCACTCTGTTTTCAGCAGGGATCTCAGCCCCACTGTCCCTCTCGGGGAATTTGCAGAACAACTGGTTTCATGCCAAGTTAATGCCCCAAGAGCTACATCACTTAGCCTTTTGTCCACTGTGTCTTTTCCTGCTCACTTTACCCTTGTAAGTTAATACCTTTTAAACATTTCTTTTCTCACATTTTAGTGAGATTTTAGGGGAAACAGAAGTTAAATGTATGTGATCAGTCTGCCATTTTAAACAAGTTAGTCTAATTTTCTCACCTAATATTCTCTTTCTTAAACTTTAGTATTCAAGTCATAGTAGCATCTGAAAATGAGTGGAAAACTTTCACTAGTTTATTATTCTTAGGCACAATATGTATAATACTGAGAATATTAAGAACTATCTTTTTCTTAAAGATTTGCTGTTACAGATGGTTCAAACCATCTAGGCCTGATGCTTTTGGCAGGGAGAGTAAAGATTTTGCTTCAGTGATTTTATCTTTCCTTCCTTCTACTTTTGTAACTTCTTTTTTTTTCTTTCTTTTTTTTTTTTGATAATTGATTCTAGGTAATTATCCCATTAGTCATTTCAGAGAACTGCCTTTAATTTGTTAAACTACATCTGGTTTTTTTTTTTTTTCCAATTTCATAAACTTTTACTTGTATCTTCATTATTTGTTCCTTTAGCTTTCTTTGGGCTTACCCTGTTCTTTTTCTAGCTTCCTGAGCTGAGCACATAGCTCATTTATTTTCATATTTCCTGTTTTTTCACATACACATATGTTAGGATAGAATTTTCCCTCTCAATGTTGCTTTTTTTTTTGAGACAGATTCTCACTCTGTCACCCAGGCTGGAGTGCAGTGGTATGATCTCAGCTCACTGCAGCCTCTGCCTCCTGGATTCAAGTGATTCTTCTGCCTCAGCCTCCTGAGTAGCTGAGACTACAGGCACGCCCCCCCATGCTTTGTATTTTTAGTACAGACAGGGTTTCACTATGTTGGTCAGGCTGGTCTTGAACTCCTGACCTCAAGTGATCTTCCTGCCTTGGCCTCCCAAAGGTTTGGGATTACAGGTGTAAATCACCATGCCCGGCCTCAATGTTACTTTAGAACATGGTTCAAGATTTGCTTAGTAGCACTTGGATTGCAGTTAGTTCTAAATATTTTGTAATTTTGATTGTGATTTTCTGTTTAATTCATGTCTTTTTAAAAATTTGTTTTTGGTTTACAGAGTATTTTTTCCTCTTTTTAGTTGTTGATATCTAATTCTATTGTTTTCAGTAAAAAAAAAAAAAACTTATACATAAACATTAATTTCTTGGAATTCATGAGTTTTCTTTTGTGGCTTAATAATTGGTCAGTTTTTATGTATGTTTTCTAAAGAACCAAATGTTCTCTTTTTCAGGAGTAGAGTTCCTAATCACATATTCCAAATTGATTATGATCTTACTAATTTTTTGTCTTCTTTATCTATCGTGCTCTGAAAGAGATATTCTGAAATCTTCCCCATTACTTCTAGATTTATTAACTCCTTTCATAATCCTTTATATACTTTGAGATTCTGTTTTTAAGTGCATTCAATTTCTCAGTTATTGGTTCTTCTTGGAAAATTATTTTTTTATACCATTTTATAGTATGTCTCTTTACCTGTGTTAGACTTCTCATCTTATTCTATTTTTTCCAGTATCTGTACAAATATTTTTTCACTAGTTTCCTTTTGGTATGTATTTTTCTAGTATGTCTTTTGCCATCTTATTATTTTTGAATTTGTATTTGTTTTTAGTGTTTCATGTAAGGAACATAGAAACATATTTGGCTTTTGTTTTTGTTTTTCCAAGATAACTAAATAGTGTGTCTTCGATGGGTGGGTTTAATTTATTCATATTCAATGATTATTGATATATTCAGACTTATTTCTGCTATCTTATTTTGTATTTTATTCATATTTTCCCTTTGCTTCTGTTTCTTTTCCTGCTTTTGTGATTAATACTTTTTTTCACTTTTCTCATCTTGCTAATTTCAGAGTTGAGTTATAGATTGTCTTTCTATTTTTAGTGTTTATCTTTTAATTTTTACCACAAACATTTAACGTTCTAGGAAGACTCATGTCTTTAATTCTGATAAATTCTAAGTGATTTCCCCCTATTAAGTTCTGCCTCACTGCCATTTCCCTTATCATATACTTCTGAAATTCCTCTCAGGTGAGTGATGGAGTCTCTTAAGGCTAACTTTAGCGGCAGCCATGTACCTGCCCTTCTATCCCATCCCATCCCATTCCATTCTATCCTATTCTGCTTCCTTCGATATAGATTTACCTGAGAACAACTCCCCTATGACGTTCTTGCTTCAAAGAAGCTCTGCTTCTAAAACCCACTGGTTAAGTAATTTGCTCAAAGTCACACAATAGTGAAGGAGTGCACCACTCCCTCAACTATGTCACTGCAGCACCCACTGCAAAGGGGCTGTTAAAAGCAACTCCCTCCTCTCCACCATCCAAGCGCTTCTTCTGGCAGCCCTCAGTGGATGGCTGTCTCCAGCTTCCATTCTCACTGGACTGCTGAATCCTGATGGTCTGTAGGCCTTGGCTTGGCATGCACAGCTGGTCTCCTTCCCAGGCCCCCTTCAGCTGCTCCTGGGGAATGTCCCAGCCTTGGAGTCTGGGTGAAGTCCACAGGGGGAGCGTGGGAGTCTGGTCTTCCTCCATCTTCTTTTCAGCTTCTTGTCCTGGCACAGAAGTTCTGCCCTCCTTCCTCTAAGGCCTTCTCTTTTTGGTTCTTAATAGCCTTTTCTTCTCCTAAAAACCTTCCTCTTGCATATCAAAAACTTGGGCTTTCAAAAGTATTGTTTCTGATCTGGGATCAAGAACTTATTTTGGAAATTAGCACCCAACACTGACTATTTCTTTCTCTCTGGATTTCAACTGTCCTCATTCTCCTTCAGGTTCTATGGGAGCTGAACAAGGAAGAGAAGAAAAGTACAGACATTTGTATTTCAAGATGCCTTCCTGCCATAGCATTTAGAATACACTGGTAAACAGCCTGGCATAAAGTACGCATGCTGTGCATGTTATCAGTATATTTTAAAATTATTCAGTGATTTTCAGCAGCAGCATTTGCTGGTGATGCAGGTTTTATTACCACAGATTTCTTCTTTGTCTGGTGAGGTCTGACCTCCTCAAAGCTAACTGCTCTATAGCCCTAATCACTTTCCCTACATAGATATCCAGTGGCCTAGGCCATGGTTCCCTTCGAAGTTTCTCCCAAGGACATTGGTGGCATTTGTACTAATGGAACTCCTGGAGACCTACTATTTCTGCAATAGAACGATTGCACCCCTGCAGATTTACTCTTCTCCATACATTATTATTGAATCACATTGAAATAAGCACAAATGTTTCTCCCTTTGCTTGCCTATTGTCTCTTTTTTGCTTATTACCTTTTCTTTCTCTTAAAGATCTAGGAGTATAATATTTGAATTTCTGTTTTCAAAACCAAAAAATGAAAAGGAATAATGCAAATCAAAAATTACTCTACTACATCCGTTTAAT